GAAGGGGAGAACCTGTTTTTTTTCCAAAGAAATTTTTTTCTTACGTTTTTTTCTACCAATTTGATTCGTAGATAACCAAATGCATCAATTTTTTTTCCTTAACTCATCTGCTTTCTTCGAGACTACTTCAAAATTTGTGCAGTATATATATTACTTGTGTTTTTCAAACTCAACTGTTGAGTCTCCTGCCAAACATTCGCCATAAGGGTCACAGAGTGCTTGGGAAATTGAGATTGGGAGACTATCAACTTTAAGCAAAGAAAGTTCTGCTTAGCTGCAGTTCCATAGATCAAGAGCCCTTGACCAGCATCAAGGTATCTCTCCCTTCACAAAAACATTTATTTTCTCAAGTTTTGTAGGTGTTCTTGATCGCCTTCAAAGCCACTGGTAACATTAGCTTAAGATACTGTATAGTAATTCCTCTTTATGGAGCTGCATATCGTGTACTGTCATGTTGGAGGATGGTGACCCACTGAGTGGGTCACCATCTGAGAGAAACCCGTGTGAAGGAACATTTTCCTGATGAAAGAAACACATCCATTGATTTTCAGAAGAGCAAGGAGAGTGGGAGAGGAAGGAGGGTTTTGAAGTTGAGAGGTGGGGATAAGTGTGGCTCATTGTTGGTGGGTGGTTGGGTGGGTGTGAGGTTTGGTGAGTAGGATGGTCCAGGAAAGAGGATAAAGGCTGGGATGACTGAAGATAGGATGGGCGGGGTGCAGGCTGGAAGGATGAGAATAATGTCAACCTAAGTTGGTTCACTGCGTCAAGATGAGGGTGAAATCGGATGATAGTTATTTAATTATTGTAAGTGACCTTCTGGCTCCCCTAACTCTGGCTGTGAAATTAACTTCATCGCTGTCAGTTGGTAGGTGTTAAGAGGCACGTAAGTTCCACCGTCTTCTAATAACAAGTTAATTTTTCCACTATAATCTACCTTGTCCATAATTACTATCCCATTTTCTCTGTTTCGTAAAGTGAAGTCCAGGATCTTTCCTTAATTCATGGTATAACTTAACAAATCTTTGAAGACAACTCATTCTATCAATAGTTTCCTTTAATAAATTCTTTATCTAATTCAGTATATTCTCTCAACTCTTTTGTCTCCGGTATTTTTCCCTCTGTTCTTTCAACGGGAAAAAAAAATACTCGAGAAAAAAAGACTCTCTTGCCTAAATATTGACAAATTCTCGGAGCCCCGTGTTTTTCCCCTCTTTTCTCTTATTATCTTAGGTATTCTTTGGATAACTTGACTCAAGAAATCGTAATGACACGATTGCAAATAAACCAATCGTGTCATTACGATTTCTTGAGTCATGTTGACGGCAGTGAAGGGACTTGAGCTAGAGTTCGTCACGGCCACGCTAGCTGGAGATTCGTCTGTAAAAACTTGCATTTGTGGTCACAGAGGTGCCTGTGCTAACTTTCCTATGGTGTAGAAATATACCTAGTTGGATGAATCTTATTGTGGCTAGCTGGTCTAGTGGCTAACGCGACGGGCTAGAGTTTTGAGACTCTATGACCGCGGGTTCAATCCCGGCCGGGGGTATAGTTTATTCTTTGGATACTTTTATTACGTTTTCTTCCTTTTTTGCCTCGTACATTATAAATGTTATGTTTCAACTCTTCATTAATTAGAAAGACAAACATCTCCCCTGGGATAATATACACTGAAAAATATATTCAGAATTTTGTATTATGCAAATTCCTACAGATTCGAAAACCTGAAGTCTTACAGTTGTTACAATATGCTAATGTTTGAGTATGTAGGTTTAAAACATCATAAACACAACGTCAGCTTCTGCAAGACTAACATACCTAACTTATATTTATATTCGAAGTTCAGTGTGTGTCATTAACATTCATAACGGTGTTTACATTGTCTTCGTAAGTTCAGTGTGTGTCATTAACATTTATAACGGTGTTTACATTGTCTTCGTAAGTTCAGTGTGTGTCATTAACATTCATAACGGTGTTTACATTGTCTTCGTAAGTTCAGTGTGTGTCATTAACATTCATAACGGTGTTTACATTGTATTCGTAAGTTCAGTGTGTGTCATTAACATTCATAACGGTGTTTACATTGTCTTCGTAAGTTCAGTGAGTGTCATTAACATTCATAACGGTGTTTACATTGTCTTCGTAAGTTCAGTGAGTGTCATTAACATTCATAACGGTGTTTACATTGTCTTCGTAAGTTCAGTGTGTGTCATTAACATTCATAACGGTGTTTACATTGTCTTCGTAAGTTCAGTGAGTGTCATTAACATTCATAACGGTGTTTACATTGTCTTCGTAAGTTCAGTGTGTGTCATTAACATTCATAACGGTGTTTACATTGTCTTCGTAAGTTCAGTGTGTGTCATTAACATTCATAACGGTGTTTACATTGTCTTCGTAAGGATCTTCCTCACAGTTTCTATAAGACCTTTTAACTACTGTTTGCCTTTCATAGTGTACTCAAATGTGCGTGTCAACAAGGCAGCAACCAAGGGGGGAGAAAGGGGTCGTCGCCCCCTGGAAACCTTTCAATCTCCCACCTTCCCTCGAGATCAGTTAGATGCCTAGTCACTTGTACACCTAACACCGAAGGTGCTCTTTGAGGCTGGACAATCCGTCAAGCAGCCTGCAGGCATGTTGTTGTGATGGGACAAACGTCAGGATGAGTGGCTGTTACAGGGCCATACAAGCTTTTCAAGAACAACTTGAATATGATGAACATTATGGACATTCTGTACCATATGTTCATTGTTTCAGTCATCGTATTCATCTAGCTGTTACTGAAGGTGTCAGCAGTGTTCTGAAGCTGTTACTGAGGGTGTCAGCAGTGTTCTGAAGCTGTTACTGAGGGTGTCAGCAGTGTTCTGAAGCTGTTACTGAGGGTGTCAGCAGTGTTCTGAAGCTGTGACTGAGGCTGTCAGCAGTGTTCTGAAGCTGTTACTGAGGCTGTCAGCAGTGTTCTGAAGCTGTTACTGAGGCTGTCAGCAGTGTTCTGAAGCTGTTACTGAGGCTGTCAGCAGTGTTCTGAAGCTGTTACTGAGGCTGTCAGCAGTGTTCTGAAGCTGTTACTGAGGCTGTCAGCAGTGTTCTGAAGCTGTTACTGAGGCTGTCAGCAGTGTTCTGAAGCTGTTACTGAGGCTGTCAGCAGTGTTCTCAAGTTTTTACTGAGGCTGTTAGCAGTGTTCTGAAGCTGTTACTGAGGCTGTCAGCAGTGTTCTGAAGCTGTGACTGAGGCAGTCAGCAAAGTTCTCAAGCTGCTACTGATGCTGTCAGCAGTGTTCTCGATACACGGACCAACATCGAATACTGACAACATTCTTAAAAGTCCTAAAATTAATGAATTGTTTGGTGGAACAGCATTTTCTAGTTTAATGGAACAAAACTGATGTATACTCTAAACACTTCCAGAAACACTCTTGAAATCTTCAGTGGAAATGTTAAACTTGGCCGAAGGTAAACTGAAGGATGATTAAGATTGAACGTGACAGTCAGGACTTCCTTGATGTAGCTTTGCATACTGTCTTCTGCATTATTCTCAAAGCAACTATTGAGAATTGTAAATCTAGCTTAGAAAAAAGTTCATTCCAGAGGCTGTAGTTTGAGTAGAGCTGAAGTTATAATTGATGTCATCATATCAGAGCTCCAGGCAGTGATTAATGATAAACTGAAACACTGCAAAAGGGAAAGGTAATTGTTAATTGTTGTAAATCAAATGATATATATATATTGAGTTTCAAAATGCTCTCAAAATATAAATAGTCGCTACAGTTTGGAGAGGAATTTTTAGCTTTTGAAAAATACTTATCTCAAGTTAAATTTCGTTGCTTATTAATTTAGCAGGTCATTATTTACAGGAAGGCTAAGAACACAGAAAACTAAAGATACACAAATAACCCGCACATGGAGGAGAGGAGCTTACGGCGACGTTTCGGTCCGACTTGGACCATTTACAAAGTCACACTGTCCGACGTCCGATGTCCGTAAACCTCCAATGTTGTGGTCTAGCCAGACTGTATGGCTACACGACAACATTGTTATGGGCAGGACAGGTGACTGCCTTGCTAAGTGTTCATCAGTTAGCCAATTTGCTCTTCATTTTCGAAAACATTGATGTTTTACTTATTATTATTATTATTATTAAATATTAGCCGGTATTCTCCCGGCCCGGGCCTTTTCCAAGTGGTGGCCCGGCCTTGGCTCCCTCTTTAGGGAGTGTCTGAGACCTAAGTCTCCCATGGGAGGAGGCACAAGTACCTCCTCATCTTTGGGACCAACTGTCCCCAGACCTAGCCACAAGCTAGGCCTCTCTGGTCTGCCATCCCCGCCTCAAGGGGGCTAATGGGAATGACAGTCTTATGAGCTAAAGGCTCGGGCTCAGGCACCTACCCTACCCTAGAAGGGCTGGGCATGGTATCGATCGATGTTTTACGTGAATCACAACAGCAATCGTTCAGTCATTGCAGATGACGTTCGTGTATGATTTAAGGATATTAATGTCACCAAAATTAAATTTATTCTTATGTATGATTCTTAGTATATGTACGTACATATTTTTGCTTAAAATAGTAACTTACAATACTGATAAACACCAGACTATTACTATGCTGACGTGTGACATATTCTCAGTTTTATAATAGTTGGTCTGCAAATCCTCAATATCCTTTCCCGGAACCGAGCTTCATATACCTCGGTTTACATTTTAATTCAGGCCTAGCAAAAAAAAAAAAAAAAAACAATAAACGATGCCACATAATACTGATGTTTGAATCATTTACATGAACAAAAGTGGTATTCCTGCTGGTCAACAGGCTAGTAACTTTCACCCATTTTCTAGGTATCTCTAAAACACGAGCTGACAACTGCTTCTTCTAACACAGTGTATTGCCAGTTAATTAATATTGTGGGAGTTACTCAGATATTTTCTTTTTGAATACTATGTATTAAAGATAGTATATAATAGTGTTTTCTTCACTTTTTTATGTCTTTTCAGATTCTTCATGTGTTATACGTGGACTGAAGTGATTACCTGAAGAATTGTATTAACTGGAACACGAGTCTTCTAAAATATGAAATGAGACGACTTGGCCTCAATCTGCACTACTGTGTTGACACTGGCTACTGTGTTGACACTGGCTACTGTGTTGACACTGGCTACTGTGTCTTCAGATACAATGCCTCGGGAATTCCAGCACCCATTCCACAAGCTGCCATGGCTTCTGGAGGAGGGATATGACTCCCTGGAGGATCTGGAATTTATAGACGGGGGAGTATACGTGCAGGGAGAAAACCACGGTGTTCTCCCGTTGTGGGCTGGTGATGGGGAACCCCACAGCTCCCACAGGCGCCACTATAGCGCTAGTGATCTGACGGCGGAAAGCAAGGAAGTGGTGGTTCCTCTCATTGATCCTAGAAGAGCCGTGTTACTACCGGGCTACGGCCAGGAACACCTCCCCGTGTGGCAGCGTCCTGACCCACCCGAGTATGTCAACGGCGCCTCCAAGACTTCTAATGCACATAAGGATCCGTTTGAAATACCCCAGATATTGGAAACTCAAAGTCTTACGGGCTCAGACGTGATGGAGGACGAGAACGAAGCTAGCAACAGCAAGCCCCCGGCCGACACTCACGATACTCTAGGCACCGACCCATCAGAGTATTGTAAGTCCCACGGAGGAATGTCCGTGGACTCACTAAGAAGGTCCTCCACCCTCACAAGAATTAATGAGTTCCTCCAGCGTGCCCGATCTGAGGTGCTGGAGGGTGAAGACGGCAGGAGCACCAGAGAGCGTCTGCGACACTTGCTACGCAACTCTCACAACGACGACACACAAAGGTAAGTGCCACTGCCAGTTTCAGTCAAGTTCTTGATGTCAACACTCTTCTCCCTGGTCCGTCGGTGACTTTCCCCAAATTTCGATAGTGAAAGGCATATTCTCCACTGGTTTTTAATACCCAAATGGTGACTACAAATGCTTCAGAATAGAACATTAGTAAACACAATAGCCAAGAATAGTCAACAACGATAGTCATAATAATCCATAGTCAACAATACAATAGCCAGATTTCCTTTACCAGATTTATGTTAAGATACCATTAACAATATGCTAAAATCAGCAGCTTTATTCTAAATTTTAAGGGAACTTCGTTATACCCACTTCAGTACCCACATAACCCGCACATAAGACAGAAACTTTACTGCGACATTTCGGTCCACCTTGGCCCATTAACTATATAAATCGGACTGAAGCGTCGTTTCTATGTGCGAATTATAAATAATGGCATATATATAAATTAGGTAACAAATTTAGGCCTAATATTCTAAGCCTATATTTTTCCTTTTTCGTACAAAGTATTGAAAAATTATTTACAATAATACAAATATTATAACTATATATTAAGGCTGTATAAATAAATAATACAATACAAAATTGAACATTAAAATGGAATAAAATACCGACAGGTTGTTAGGTAAGACACATATGCAACAGTTAGGTATCTTTATTTCGAAACGTTTCGCCTACACAGTAGGCTTCTTCAGTCGAGTACAGAAAAGTTGATAGAAGCAGAAGATACTTGAAGACGATGTAATCAGTCCATCACCCTTAAAGTTTTGAGGTGGTCAGTCCCTCAGTCTGGAGAAGAGCATTGTTCCATAGTAGGAAACATATTGTTCCATACTATGGAACAATGCTCTTCTCCAGACTGAGGGACTGACCACCTCAAAACTTTAAGGGTGATGGACTGATTACATCGTCTTCAAGTATCTTCTGCTTCTATCAACTTTTCTGTACTCGACTGAAGAAGCCTACTGTGTAGGCGAAACGTTTCGAAATAAAGATACTTAACTGTTGCATATGTGTCTTACCTAACACAATACAAAATTAATATACAATTATACACTTCAAAACAAATACAGAAAATAAGAAATAACTGATAAGAAGAACAGACTGGGAATGAACAAAGAATCGGAGGAGTATAAGGCTGAAAGTTGTACCTGAACAAGAATAACGAAGAAAACGACGAAACTAGTTAAACGTGTATAGTTATATTACGATATTACTGGAACGTTATTCGGAGTTTTTAGAAGGAAATGAAAGAACTAAAGAAATATAAGCTTAAAACAGGAGATAGTTACGTTAAAATTAACAAATAAAGAGTGAAATAGGCTGTATTATCATAGGAAATTAGAGGCAAAATAGCAAATAATTCCAGCATATTGAGAGAAACTAGCCAGAGGAAAATCAAATTAAGTTCAAACAGAAGAAAATAGGAATAATATCACATTACTGAGATAACGTAATATTTTGGGAATATCACTGTCGAATATTATATAGATTAGAATAGCAGAAATTATCGCTGGAAAGAGACAGAAATAATAAGAAAGTTATTATAAACTGAGATCTCAATTGTGAAAAAATAATCTGGGGATATTATGAGGCCGGGAATTTTGTTAGGTTTCTGTAAGTAGACGAAACGACGACGAGGGACGACGACACTTTAGTACCTGATCTGAAAATAAATGGTATAAAATACCGACACAATGGAAATATAAACACAAATGCAATATAATGTGAACCTTTATTGACCTCAACATTCTGAACCTCACTATAAATACTCTCGTACCTTCCAACCCCAGGTAGATCCGTGTGTGACTTGAAAAAGCCCACTGTGTGGGCGAAACGTTGTCAATAAAGGATCACATTATACTGCATTTGTGTTTATATTTCCAATACCTGATCTGGTACTTTGGAACGGCAACATTCATGGTGTAAACTAGCAACTCAAGGAAGGGTTCTTGATCCAGGTAAGGAGCTCATGAACCAAAGAATGGGACCTGCCCTTCGCTTCCTTGTATCGAACCCGAATAATAATAATAATAATAATAATAATAATAATAATAATAATAATAATAATAATAATTAATAATAATAATAATAATCTAAACTAACTAGGAACAGATGATAATGTAATAACGGAAATAATATATATAATATAAGGTCTATATATACCTGAAGAAACAGTGGAGAAAGAAACACGAATAACGAGATTATAGGAAAGGATAAATAAATACTTAATGTAATATTTTAGACAAATTAAATGAGATACAAGAGACAAATATAAAAAAAAAATAAATGACAGAGAATTCTGAAATATTTATGTTATCGAAAATATACGATTTTTTGGGGGGAAAAGGAATCAAAGAATAATTATTCAAGAATTATGTAATGAAAGGGTCTAGAAAGCCATAAAAAATTGAGAGAAATTGAAGGTAAGTCGATCGCTCACACACTGAGGTCTGGGGTTCGAATCCCCTCCGGTACGGCTGGAAAACAATAGGGACGTGTTTCCATAAGACATCTGTTGTCCCTGTCCCTGTTCACTCATCGGTATTAATATGGGTACCTGGGTGTTAGTGGACTGGTGTGGGTCGCATCCTGGGTGTTAGTGGACTGGTGTGGGTCGCATCCTGGGTGTTAGTGGACTGGTGTGGGTCACATCCTGGGTGTTAGTGGACTGGTGTGGGTCGCATCCTGGGTGTTAGTGGACTGGTGTGGGTCGCATCCTGGGTGTTAGTGGACTGGTGTGGGTCGCATCCTGGGTGTTAGTGGACTGGTGTGGGTCACATCCTGGGTGTTAGTGGACTGGTGTGGGTCGCATCCTGGGTGTTAGTGGACTGGTGTGGGTCGCATCCTGGGTGTTAGTGGACTGGTGTGGGTCGTATCCTGGGTGTTAGTGGACTGGTGTGGGTCGCATCCTGGGTGTTAGTGGACTGGTGTGGGTCGCATCCTGGGTGTTAGTGGACTGGTGTGGGTCGCATCCTGGGTGTTAGTGGACTGGTGTGGGTAGCATCCTGGGTGTTAGTGGACTGGTGTGGGTCACATCCTGGGTGTTAGTGGACTGGTGTGGGTTACATCCTGGGTGTTAGTGGACTGGTGTGGGTCACATCCTGGGTGTTAGTGGACTGGTGTGGGTAGCATCCTGGGTGTTAGTGGACTGGTGTGGGTCGCATCCTGGGTGTTAGTGGACTGGTGTGGGTCGCATCCTGGGTGTTAGTGGACTGGTGTGGGTCGCATCCTGGGTGTTAGTGGACTGGTGTGGGTCACATCCTGGGTGTTAGTGGACTGGTGTGGGTAGCATCCTGGGTGTTAGTGGACTGGTGTGGGTCGCATCCTGGGTGTTAGTGGACTGGTGTGGGTCGCATCCTGGGTGTTAGTGGACTGGTGTGGGTCGCATCCTGGGTGTTAGTGGACTGGTGTGGGTAGCATCCTGGGTGTTAGTGGACTGGTGTGGGTCACATCCTGGGTGTTAGTGGACTGGTGTGGGTCACATCCTGGGTGTTAGTGGACTGGTGTGGGTCACATCCTGGGTGTTAGTGGACTGGTGTGGGTAGCATCCTGGGTGTTAGTGGACTGGTGTGGGTCGCATCCTGGGTGTTAGTGGACTGGTGTGGGTCGCATCCTGGGTGTTAGTGGACTGGTGTGGGTCGCATCCTGGGTGTTAGTGGACTGGTGTGGGTCGTATCCTGGGTGTTAGTGGACTGGTGTGGGTCGCATCCTGGGTGTTAGTGGACTGGTGTGGGTCGCATCCTGGGTGTTAGTGGACTGGTGTGGGTCGCATCCTGGGTGTTAGTGGACTGGTGTGGGTAGCATCCTGGGTGTTAGTGGACTGGTGTGGGTCACATCCTGGGTGTTAGTGGACTGGTGTGGGTCACATCCTGGGTGTTAGTGGACTGGTGTGGGTCACATCCTGGGTGTTAGTGGACTGGTGTGGGTCGCATCCTGGGTGTTAGTGGACAGGTGTGGGTCGCATCCTGGGTGTTAGTGGACTGGTGTGGGTCGCATCCTGGGTGTTAGTGGACTGGTGTGGGTCACATCCTGGGTGTTAGTGGACTGGTGTGGGTCGCATCCTGGGTGTTAGTGGACTGGTGTGGGTCACATCCTGGGTGTTAGTGGACTGGTGTGGGTCGCATCCTGGGTGTTAGTGGACTGGTGTGGGTCGCATCCTGGGTGTTAGTGGACTGGTGTGGGTCACATCCTGGATGTTAGTGGACTGGTGTGGGTCACATCCTGGGTGTTAGTGGACTGGTGTGGGTCGCATCCTGGGTGTTAGTGGACTGGTGTGGGTCGCATCCTGGGTGTTAGTGGACTGGTGTGGGTCGCATCCTGGGTGTTAGTGGACTGGTGTGGGTCACATCCTGGGTGTTAGTGGACTGGTGTGGGTCGCATACTGGGTGTTAGTGGACTGTTGTGGGTCACATCCTATGTGTTAGTGGACTGGTGTGGGTCACATCCTGGGTGTTAGTGGACTGGTGTGGGTCGTATCCTGGGTGTTAGTGGGCTGGTGTGGGTCAAATCTTGAGTGTTAGTGGACTGGTGTGGGTCACATCCTGGGTGTTAGTGGACTGGTGTGGGTCGCATCCTGGGTGTTAGTGGACTGGTGTGGGTCGCATCCTGGGTGTTAGTGGACTGGTGTGGGTCGCATCCTGGGTATTAGTGGACTGGTGTGGGTCGCATCCTGGGTGTTAGTGGACTGGTGTGGGTCACATCCTGGGTGTTAGTGGACTGGTGTAGGTCACATCCTGGGTGTTAGTGGACTGGTGTGGGTCGCATCCTGGGTGTTAGTGGACTGGTGTGGGTCGCATCCTGGGTGTTAGTGGACTGGTGTGGGTCACATCCTGGGTGCTAGTGGACTGGTGTGGGTCGCGTCCTGGGTGTTAGTGGACTGTTGTGGGTCACATCCTATGTGTTAATGGACTGGTGTGGGTCACATCCTGGGTGTTAGTGAACTGGTGTGGGTCGTATCCTGGGTGTTAGTGGACTGGTGTGGGTCAAATCTT